TGGCAAGCCCAGAGGCGCAGCAGCGGAGGGGGCCGGGGTAATGAACTCCCATTGGCTTCCTTCACGAGATCACTGCCTTAATTTACGAGGCCTGAGTAAGTCTCATTTCCCCAGTGCACGGTGAGTAATTAACTATTAATAAAAGCATTACTGAGTTAACCATGGGGGCATGTTTAATTCATGGGGCAGCCCAGGAACAGGGGGAGGCCTGGGCTCAGTGGGGGATACCTCCCCAGGCAAAACATCGCCAGCCACAGCCAGCCCTTGCTCCCCGCAGCCCATTGTGCCGGTCCCAGGGGGCCAGCAAGCCGGATGAGGTGGTGAGTCCCGGTGGGGCCGCTCCCTGCTGTGTGACTAATGAGGTGAGTGCCCTCGGGCAAGTCGCTTAGCCTCTCAGCCTGCTTCTCTGGAGAGCCAGGCTGCTAATAGCGATGACCTCCCAGGACCCGGCTTCAGGACCAGGAGCCCAGGACTGAAGGGACAGATGTGGCACACGTCCCAGCGCTTCTCACGTGCGTGGACTTCTCTCCCTAAGCCACAGTGCTCCAGAGAGAGGGCAACATTCCCACCAGCCTTCCTCCTGGGCACCTGTGGGCGTTGCAGAGGCAGTCCAAGCCCCGCCCCTCCCGTCTCCCCGCGCGCACCGCTGGCCGGCCGTGGTGACCAATGCACCACCGGGGCACCCACTCACAGCTCTGTGCCTCTGGGTATGCTCTTCCCCTGCCTTTAAAAAACATTTCTTTGAAGATTTATTTTACTTATTTGAAAGAGTTGTAGAGAGAAGGAGAGACACAGAGAGAGAGGTCTTCCTTCTGCTGGCTCACTCCCCACACGGCCACAACGGCTGGAACTGAGCCCATATGAACCCAGGAGCTTCTTCTAGGTTTCCCACACAGGTACAGGGGCTCAAGCACTTGGGCCATCCTCCGCTGCTTTCCCAGGCCACAGCAGAGAGCTGGACTGGAAGAGGAGCAACCAGGACAGAACTGGCGCCCCGACCAGGACTAGAACCCAGGGTGCCAGTGCTGCAGGTGGAGGATTAGCCTAGTGAGCTGCAGCACAGACCCCTTTCATACTTTTAAAAGATGTATTTATTTATTTGAGAGCCAGAGTGACACACACACACATACACACACACACACAGATCTTCCATCTGCTGGTTCACTCCCCAAATGGCTACTGTGGCTAGGGCTGGGCCACGTCGAAGCCAGAAGCATAGAACCCCACTCAGGTTCAGGTCTCCCATTGAGGTGTTGGCCCATCATTTGCTGCTTTTCTAGGCACGGTAGCGGGGAGCTGGACTGGAAGTGGAGCAGCTGGGACTATGCCCGGCACTCTGACATGGCATGCAGGCATTAAAGGCAGTGGCTTAACCCACTGTGCCACGGAGCCCCGGCACACCTCCCACCCTGCCTTTCAATCTCACTGAACTCCTGGAGGGGGCTTTTCTGGCCCCACGGGGCTTTCCTCAGACCAATGAGTCTTCACCCGCTGGGGGTGAAGGACTCAGTCTCCCAGGAGAGCCCGCACACACGCAGGGTGCTCGCCCCTCTCCGTGCGTGCCCCTGGGTGTGGCGGATGCTGCCTGTGGTGCCCAGGTCCTCTTTGGGGTGGAGGATTTATGCCCCAGCAGCCGGGAGCAAGGCTGGCAGGCAGCCCGTGGCGCAGCCCTGGGGGACTGCCTTGTTTTGAAGAAAGCCGCCTCGCCCAAAGCCACGCCTCCTTGGGGGCAGGTAACTGGGGCACGGATGCTGGAACCTTCCGCCCGCTGGGGACCGGCCTGCGGTGCCAGCTCAGCCACAGAGCTGCTCTTGGGCGGGCCGGGAGCCCTGGGGCTGCCCTGCAGCTCGGCTTGTTCCTCTGCCAAGCCCGCGCCCTTCTCCTGCCCGCGCCAGACCACTTTCTGATCAAGGCCCTGCACGCGTCTCCACCCGGGGAGCCCGATGGGCTTGAAGCCGGGCAGAGGGGCAGGCGTTGTGCTGTAGCAGCCAGACACACCACCTGGGAGTTCCTGGCTCCTGGCTTTGGCCTGGGCCAGCCCTAGCCATGGCTGCTGCGGCATTTGGGTGGTGAAATAGTGGATGGAAGATCTCTCCCTCTCTCTGTTACTCTGCCTTTCAAATGAATGAAAGAATGATTGAATGAATGAACAAATGAATAAAACTTTTTTTAAAAGCCCAGCGGAAGTCCCTGGAGGCCGGGGAGTGCCTTCACAGTGGTGTCTGCGCCCACAGCCGCTGTCACTGGGCAGGGATCCTAGGTGCTCCAGAAACAGGAAGGCACCGGACGCATTTTCTTCCGGTCCGATGCCGTCCCTCGGTTGTCCCCAGCAGGTGAGCGTCCATCAGCCATCCCAGAGACAGGGACAGCCCCACCAGCAGGAGGCCAGCGGGCCTGCATCAGGGGAATGAATGTGTGAGTTGCCAACGAGACTGTAAATAACCATGGGAACAGACTCAAGCTAATTGGTTATTACAAAGCAGGGTGAAGGGGCCCGGCAGACGTCAGGGCTGAGCGGGAGGCCGAGGCTGGGTGGAGGGGGCTGGGGGCCGGCAGGAAGCGGGTGGCAGTGGTGGGGAACAGCTCTGCTTCCAGGGCAAACCATTTTCCTGCTGGGACCCGTGAGGCCCCCGCTACTGGGAAGTCCTCCATGGGACACTGCCGGGCAGGGCGGCGAGGAGAGGGCCCTCGGGGGCGGGGCTCCGGGGCTGGCTCCTGCGTTCACTGGGCGTGCTGCAGGGTGTCCTCGCTGTGACGCCTCCACAGTGGTCAGGACCACGCGGCAGCACCGTGCGAACCGCTTGACTGGCGGCATTTTGTTACATCTTCACATCAGACGCCAGTTCTTCCTTCTGTAGCGGCTCAGGGGGGCCAGCTCGGGACCACATAGCCGATACCGTGTGCAACCCAGGCCAGTGTGCACCTGCTGCCGCCTCTGCCACCTGTGCTTGACCCTGTGAGCTCGGTCTCCACGTCTGTGAAACAGCAGCCACCGATTCCTCCTGCTCTGGGCTCGTAGGGATTAACCGGCCCCTGAGAACTCCCAGAGGGAGCCCAGTGAGCGGTCCGTTCCGCTGTCTCGTCCCCATTGCCCACGCCCCTGCCCCAACACTTCCCTGGGCTGGGAGGAAGCGTGGCTCCAAGGACAAACGTGCCTGTCCCCAAGTCCACGAGTGTCAGCCACTTGGCTGGCGCTCACTGAATGCTGTCGACCTAAGTGGATGATCTGGGTGTCCCCCCCCTCCACCGCCAACCCGCGGGGACCAGTCTCAGCCTGTCGTCAGTCCGTGACACAGGGAGCTGCAGCAAGCACCACAGGCGGGTTCTCTTGGTGCCACGTGGCTCGGCTCTGCAGCCACTGGGGTTTTCAGGGTTTTCACAGCAGAGTGGAGCAGAAACAGATGGAGACGACACCCCCAAGCCCACAAGGGGAGAGGGGAAGTGGAAGGGAGGGTGCGGGACGCCAGTTCCTGCCCGATGGCTCAGGTCTCTCCCACGGGCAAACCCCAGCCCGCCCTCCTGCCACCTCCACAGCGACTGCAGATGCCCCTCTAGGGGGGGCGTCAGCCTTGCTTCCCCCAGAGGCTGCTGGGAGAGGTGGTGGACATGTCAACACTTACAACCCGCACCTGCAGGTGGGTCCTCCCCCCCTCCCCTCCCACGGGGGCCCTGGAGCTGGAGGCTGTGCGGGGACAGACACCGCAGCCTCGGAGAGACAAGTCACATCCTCGGCTTCCCTCAACCTGTGCAAGTGCCGAGTTGCCATGGTGACGCTGCAGCCCCGAGATGCAATGGCTGCAGACAGCATGGGTGGTTCTAGGGCTCACGGCCAAGGGTGGACGCTGTGTGGTCTGAGAAGCCAGGCGATTGGGCGGGCGGGTGGGGGAGGAGAGGGCAGCCCCCTCGAGGCCTGGCTGGTAATTGCCGCTAAGCGAGGGGCCGTCATTGAACCCAACACGCATTTGGCGAGGGCTCTGCTTTGCACCTTGTAATTACTGCACCAGACGGCAGCGCTGGCTCCCTGTGCTGGGGAGGGGTCGGTGGAGACGCGCAGGGCGCCCCCAGCCACCTGAGCCAGTGGGCCCTGGCAAGTGCCCTCTGCTCTCCTGGCCGACTCTCCCCACGACCTTGCCCATCGGGAGCAGGGGCTTCCTCTGATCCTGGCCTCTGGGCCTGCAGAACCCAAGGTGGACAGAGGTGCCGGTGCAGAGAAGGCACCCCGTGGAGAGCCCTAGGTGCCACACCTCTGCCTGCTCCAGTGCGCTGGGAACTGGGCCTGGAGGTGGCTCTCGGTTCTACTCCCCCCAAGGGCAGAGGCCAGTCGCTGGCCCCCTGGGGCTCAGCCTCCCTGGCTGGTAAGCCCAGGAGTGTGAGTCAGTCAACCGGAGCTGGGTCCCACCTCTGCAACAGGGCCTGTGCTTGTTTCTGTGTGGTCTGCGGCTTCTTTCAAACCACGAGGGCGGAGCAAGTAGTCGCGACAGATGCTGAATGTCCCCAGAGACCATGACTAGCTGGCCCTCCACAGGAACTTTGCGGATGTTTCCCAAGGACTGGAGCCCTTGTCGGGGTAATTGAAGGAACGTCAGTGGCTCCACCCAGTCGGAGTAGCTTTCCAAGCCCCACCCTGGCCCCTTCCAAGAACCCTTTCTGCTGGGATGAAGAGTGCTCGGGCCGGCTGGGCTCTGGGAGCCGCAGTGTGGGGCAATGGCGCCACCTGCTGTGAGTGCATGGAAGCGCTTGTGCCCCTGGAGCCTCAGACCCCAACCCCTCTACCTCCACCCCAGGCAGGACAGGCGCAGGACCACAGCGCCAGGGCCAGGGCCTGGAGCTCCCGGCCCTACTTTGGAGAGGGAACTGCAGTGCACAGCAGCACAGGCCTCATCCAGGTCGGTGAGTGGCAGGTGCCCCTGGGGCTCCCAGACCCTCCCAGGAAGCAGCTGGTGACGGCCATGGATATGTGGCGCACACAGCCTGACCGTGGATCCTCATTCCACCACAGGTTTTGTTGTTGTTGTTTTTTAAAGATGTATTTATTGAAAGGCAGAGTTACAGAGAAGCTCCAACCGCTGGTTCACTCCCCAGATGGCCAGATCTGGGCTGATTCAAAGCCAGGAGCTTCTTCAGGGTCTCCCACATGGTGCAGGTGCCCAAGCACTTGGGCCATTTTCCACTGCTTTCCCAGGTGCATCGGCAGGAAGTGGGAACGGAAGTGGAGCAGCTGGGACCCCAATCAGTGCCCATACAGGATGCAGGCGCTGTGCGGCTGCTTCGCCCACTGCACCACAGTGCTGGTTCCTCCACTACACATTAAGGAGTTTTTGTTTTGTTTTTTTAACCTTTTGGATCTTGGTTCCTTGGTTGTTGAAATGATTTTTAAAATAAAGATAATTAAAAATAACTGTTAGCAATATTGACTCCCTTAATCTTCAGAACGACTCTGAGACATTACTGTCCCCATTTCACAAATGCGAAAACTACAGCACAGAGCTGCAGGTGCTTCGCTTAAGGTCACAGAGCTAGGACTCAAACCCAGGCTGTGAGAACGCGTCAGGACTGCGAGGCCCGGCACCCAGCAAACACCCACTTCCTGCCTGCCGGGCGTGGTGGTGCCCACAGAGGGCCCCGAGGCGCACACGCGGACATGGGAAGCCTAGTTCGTGGCCCGCACTGGGCGAAGGCCTCAGGCAGGGGAGGGAGCGGAGAGGCCCGGCCCACAGTATCTCCCTGATCCCACTCCTCCAGGCACACAACGTGGCCACTGCAGCGTGAGAAAGGCCGTCCAGGTGAGGAGGCCCCAGCCCCCGCGCGCCCCTCGGAGAGCTGTGATGCCTCCGAATGGTCCTGGCCGCCAGAGCCCGGCCAGCAGCCGAGGCCGGCCCGCTCGTTCCTCCCGCTGAATCCGGAGGGCAGGGTGGGAGCTACAGGCCCCTCGCCACACCTGTGGCTCCTGATCCACGCTTCCAACCGCTGCCAAGGGCGGCCGGGCCCACAGCTGTGCTTCCGTGCCGCTGCCCGGCTCACTGCCGCGCCTGCGCCAAGTCGTCGTCCTCATTGTCGTCGTCCTCCTGCTGGCCGCTCTGCAGCAGCAGCTCCAGGTCGGGGCTGGAGCCCTGCGCTTTCAGGGGCTTGGGGCCGGGGTCACCTGCGATGAGAGACCACGGCTGCGGCGCGTGCAGAGCCAAGCAGGCCCCAGAGGTGCAGCGGCGGCAGCATGGCCAGGCCTACTTTCTGAATCTTGGGGACAGGCAGTGCAGGGCACGCAGCTCCTGGGCAAGTCCAGAGCCACCTGGCTCTCGCTGGCAGGGCTGGGGCAGGGTCGAGGGGAACTTGGAGGCACTAGGAGCCCAGGCGGGGGCCTCTGGGAGGGGCTCTGCGTACCTGGTGAGTGGAGCGCTTTGAGGGCCACGTGCAGGCAAATCCCCGAGAGGCAGAGGGCGAAGCCCAGCCAGTTCACCAGGCTGATCTGGTCGCCCAGCAGGTGAGCTGCCAGCAGCAGAGTGCAGACTTCCTGGGGCAGGGAGGGAGGGAGGGGATGAGCGCGTGCCCTGGGCAGGGCGGGGGCAGGGCCCAGGCCGCCTGCAGTGCCCTCCCGCCGGCCTCCTTCCTGCTCTGAGATGCAACACAGAGGTGCTTTCTGCAGAATTCTGCCTGTCAGTTATAAAAGAGGCAAACCAGAAGGGGCCGGAGCAGAGTGGGTCCAGCGCAGACCAGGGCCGCGGGAGTGAGGGTGCTGAGGGCTCCCCTGTCCAGTGCGGCATCACGCCAGGTCCCTCACAAACCGCCTGCAGAGAACCCCAGCGGCCCCCGCCCCTGGCTGGCAGCTCTCCTGGAAGACCCTCAGGAGCCCAGCATTTCGGCTGCAGCCTGGGCTCGGGCCCTGAGCACGGAGGACTGGAGAAGTGGCGGGGGTGGGGGCAGGGAGGAAAAGGGAGAAGTGGGGAGGAGTGGGGGGAGAGAGGCAGGGCGGGTGGAGTTGAGCAGCGGTCAAGGAGAGACTGGCCACACAGGGCACTCCCTCATAAATCAACTCTGCCTTGCTGTGCCTTGGGCAGGCATCACCAATCGATCATGGAACTCTACGGACTGAGTGCATGCTGGGCCTCTTCCACTGATGGCTCCAGGCCACTGCTACATGACCAGAAGGGGCACGCCAGGCCTCGGAGTCAGCCATGGGGGGGAGCCCCTTGCTGAACACCCCCCGTGGGGGTGGCTGCTCCTGCTGCCTCCCCATCTCCGTCCCACTCAGAGCTGCGTACCCAGCACCCAAGTGGCCCCCTCCTCTTCTCTGCAGACCCGCGGTACAGGAGCTGGGGTGGAAGCTGCAGGAGGAAGCCCCTCTGGGGCTCCCCGTACTACCGCACGGGGTCACCTCCAGGTCTGTACCTTAAAGATGCCGGCGATGGAGAGGGTGAGGCTGGAGGTTCTGGAAACCAGGAGGAACTCAGAGAAACCCAAGCCAAAGGCGAGAATCCCGCCAAGCAAGAGGCTCCCAAGTACCCGCAGGAGCAGCCCTGTGTCCTGGAAACGGAAGATTTTCTCAGATGTGGACAAATGGAGACCTGGAAGCAATGGGAGAGAGGGGGAGGCTGGGTTCGGGGGTGCCGTCTGAGCACCTGCTGATGTCTGAGGCCCTGGGAAACAGTGAGGGCCAGAGACCTGGCGACACCAGGCAGCAGCAGAGGCTGCCAGCGCGCCCCGGGCCATGTAAACCAGGCACTGAGGCAGCGAGCGCCTGAGCCCCAGGCTGCCCGGCACAGACCGAGAAGGCCGCGCCCTGCTCCTCTGCCACATCCACCTGCTGGGCCTCGGCCGGGCTTCAGAAGCCTCAAGGAAAACGTGTATCACGGACAAACTACACATGCGATGCCAACGGGGCTTCTGGGCACCAAAACGAAGTTATCTTTAACTCCATCTCCTTACAAGCCCCGTGCAGTCCCCTCGTGTTCACCTCCTGGCGTGGAGGGGTCGGGGACGGCGTGTGGTCCTTGCAGCCGTGAGGCCGGAGGGACCCAGGAGAGCTGGGAAGTGCCGGCCCACGAGGCTCATCCCTTGGTCCCACCAACCAGTGAACCCTGTACATCTCCACTTTAGGCTAGATCCTGGTGGGACAGAGCTGGGGGACTGGACCTTTGGTCTCCCTACTGATAAAGGGAATGGACCGGGTGTAGACCGGGTTGTGGCTCTAAGGAGCAGTGTAACCTGCCAACCACTTCTTCAAAAGAAAACACATGAACACATAAGGAGGCGACAAGGACCGGGGCCCTCGCTGCAGACGCACACACAAACCACTTCAGGGACAGCCACGGCCCCTCCAGCACTGTCCCGAGTGAATGGTCCCCGTGGGGTCTCAGCAGGGGCAAGGTCAGCCCCAACTCAGCACAAGCGTAGCAGCGGGCCGCAGGGTGGGGGAGGGAAGCTGCGGAAACCAGAGTGCCGGCCCCCCAGCCCCCCCAGCCCCCCCAGGGCAGGGCACTCGTCTGCGCGGGGCTCGGCAGTGCTGCAAAGGCGCAGTTCGGGGGAGAGCGACGTAAGTCATGCAGGCGCTCGGGGGATTAATTTACCAGAAAAGATTAAAGGAGCTAAATCCATGCAGCTTTGCTAAGTGACGACGACCGGGGGCTTTTGGCCGTGGGTTTGCAGGGACGGGGAATGGCATAAACACCCAGCGAGGGAGCGAGTGCGGCGCTGGCGCCAAGGGGGCAGAGGGAAGGAAGGCGGAGATTTTAAGAAGGAAAAAAACGAGGCTCTGAACGGAAGTTTCCCGGACAACAGGCGGCAGAATAACCTTCCCGGGGAGGCTCGTGCCACCTGCAGCCTACACAGGTGTGGCTCAGAGCTTTCTGTAAGGCCCCCAAGGGCAGAAGGACAGAGAGACAGACAGGACAAAGCCCAAGCCCGAAGGCCCAGAGGTGGGTGGCGCCTCCCTGCCCCCCTCCTCTGGAGGATGATGGTGTGGTCGGGAGGCGGGGATGATCACTCCCGTCCCCAGCCCACCTCTGCACTGCCGGGACCCCTGGGCACCGCCGAACCTCTGGGCCCATTTCCCAGCATGCCCTGCCCCTGCCTGGCCCTCAGCCGTGACAGGTCAGCACTGGGGCCAGGCTTGAGCAGGCTGTCTTCACTCCCACACCTCAGCTTCTCAGCTGCAAACGGGGCAGCGGTGGGAGAACTGTGAGTCAGTATGCTCCAATGACAGTCCTGACGTGCCCTCAGGGGTGGGCAGGTCACTGTCATGGCCACCTCCTTGTTTACACCGCACAGACTTGCTAGCTAGGATTTCTCACGTGGGAGCCCAGCCATTTTGTTTGCTGGATCTGCCTTACCAAGGTGCCCCCGAAGCGGATGACCCAGCGTACCTTCAAACACAGCAAAGAGAGGGAAGAGCCCCAGGAACATGAGCGGCTGCAGGTGGAACATGGTGTCGATGGGGTTCTGCAGGCCTGTGGGGCGGGGAGATGGGCCCCGTCAGGCCGGGCCCGCGCTGCCTCCACCCGGCCCGCGCCGGGCCCCTCCCCGGGGCGGCGGCACGTGCTCACCGAGCTCGGCCTTCTGCAGCAGCATCTGCGTGAGGGTCCAGCGAATGCCGCCGATGAACGAGGCGCCCAGCACCAGGGCGAAGCCCTCCACGTTGAACTGTGTGGACTTGTACGTGAACATGAAGAGGCCCCCGGCGATGAGCAGGACCACCAGGACCAGGGCTGCGCGCTAGGGGGCAGGGAGCAGCCGAGCTGACCCGGGCGCTCAAGGCGCAAGAGCTTGGCACAGGTAGAGTTGGGGGCCCTGCGTCCTTCACCCCCACCCAGGGGTCCCAGACAGCCCCCAATGCACGCACGCACACACGCACGCACGCACGGCTGCCGGTCCGCGGCTGTGTCCCCAGCCTTCCGGCCAGCTCTGAACGCTGCAGCGCTCTGCCGCAGTCCCCAGGCGGCCCCACCTCTCCACACCCTCCTGCCTTCCCCTTCGCTCGGTACCCTGCCGGGCCTGGCACGTTCTCCGGAAAGGGAGTCACTGCTGGGCTGGGCCCGGCTCCTCTCACGCACAGTGCTCAGATCCCGTTTTACCCTGAGCACCTGCAGGGGCAGGAAGGAGGGAAGAGCAGCGCGGGCCTCACCAGCTCCTCCAGCTTGAAGATCAGAGAGAAGATCAAGATGAAGAGGACAGCGGAGGATTTGGTCATTGTGTACCTGGAAGGGAACATTACCCACAATGCAGCACGGGCGCCTGCGGCTCAGACCCCCCACCCAGAAGAGGCCCCGGAGCAATCATGGCGGGGCAGGGAAAGGAGGGGGACACTGGGCAGCCTAGGTACAAAGATCAAAAGCAGCCGGCCTGCGTCTTCCGGGCAGCACTGTCTGAGAGGCCTGAGTGCCACCAGGGAGCAGAGGCTGCAGGCCGACACTGAGCCCAGAGTCCCCTCCCCGACTCGGCCCTCAGCGGAGTCCAGGCCGTGGGAGGGATGAGGGGAGCGGAGAAGGACAGGCGGGCAGGACTGCGCGCTCTGAAGCTAAGCAACAGCAGGGAGTGCCACTGCCGGTCCCAGCCACACGCACCCGCCCCTTCCCGGCCCGCCCCCCCACCGCCACCCTGCCTGCTCTGCTCTGGTTTCCCGCGCTGCCTGGCGGCGGGTTCAGCTCCCCCGACTTCCCCTCTCCAGAGCTGCTGGCTGCCAGGGAGGAGCCGAGCGCGTGGAGGCGGCGGGCGCGGCGGGCACTCACAGTGAGACGGTGATGTAGAGGAAGCTCCAGTTGGACAAGCCCACGTCCAGGGCCGTCGCCAGGGCTGCGGAGACAGCGCCCTCACCACACTCAGCCTGGACACGGCTCGGAGGCCCCCAGGCCTTCCTTGCCACCCAGTAACTCCAGGGTTAACGTCTGCCCAGCCAGGCAGGAGCGGGTGTGCCTGGAGCTGCGGCCTGTGGGGTCTCACTTCATTGTAACACTTCTCATCTCCCGGTCCCCGTCCCCTAGGAGCGGACTTCTCTCTTCTCCCTCCGCCTCTCCCGCCCCCCCCCCCATCCTCATACTCCTCATACCCTTTCACTTCCCTCTCAGAGCGCCCAGACCCCTGGGCCCATGATGCCCCCAGGCACCCCCAGCCCGCTCAGGTCAGCCCTGAAGGCCCAGGCCCAGGAATCCTGAGCGCCCTGCCTTGGTTAGGCCCCACTCCCCTGGGCTCCGGGAGCCCTCCGGGTCCCCACCGCAGCCCTGCATGGACTCCAGCTCCAGGCCAGAGCGTGCGCTCAGGGCGAGGGGCGCCCCAAGGGCAACACCACAGCGGGGCTCTCCGGGGCTGTGGGAGACGGGGTCAGCAGGAGCAGGGTGAAGCGAGGGGGACGCAGGGGCACGAGGGCCTCGCTCCGGTTCTTGGCTGAAGGGTCCCCCGCAGCCCTCTCAGGCCCCGCCCCACCCCAGGCACGTACCCGTGGGAGCCACTCTTCTGAGGTAGTCGGCCCAGCTGAGCACCACGCGGGCCCTGTGGCTGGAGCACTGAACCAGCGCCCTGCACAGGGCGGAGAAGAGGAAGATCACGGCCAGGTGCAGCATCGTCATGAAGAGGGGGAAGTGGAAGCTCTGCGCGGGCCCAAAGCAGACGCCCAGGCCGGGTTTAGACAGCCTGCCCCGCCCCGGCCCCTCCCCACCACCACCTGGCCGCCGGGTGAGGGGGCCATGCCTGCGAGGGGCCCAGTCGGCCTCCCTCTGGAGGTCCCACGGGAGGGGCAGCCCAGGGGCCTGACCTTGTAGTTTCCACCACTTCAACACACTTGCCAGCCACCTGCTCGGCCCTCCCCTCAGCCTCTGGCCAGGTAAGAGCCGCTGTGCACCAATGCGCTGTATCAGCTGAAATCCCAGACTGCCCGGCGGCCGGGCGGTAGGAAGCTGCTGCCTCGGCCCCCCGAGGTTCCCGGCTCACCCCTCCACATCTCCCACTGACCCGCACATGTGAAGGGGAGGCCCAGCTCTGGCACACGGGGAGGGCCCCCTGCCTCCCGGCCCGCGCTGCGCCGCGCCCTCCCGGCCCACAGGTACCTTGGTCAGCCATTTGTTGTAGAAGGTGATGCCGATGGAGAAGCAGTAGTAGAGCAGGACCAGCCCCAGCGTCAGCACTGCCTTCCACACAAAGGCCACGTCCAGGGCCCACCTCCCCATCCGCGGAGGCCGCAGCACCCCAGCTCGGGCCAGCGGGGACAGCACCTCTCGTGGAGAGCGCCCACAGCGGGGCCCTGAGCTGGACCTCGGCTTTCAGCAAGGACGGCTCATGGCCAGAGCGCTCCCTGCGCTCCGCGGAGCCGGCAGTCCTCAACTGCGGGGCTGCTGGCCCGAGCCGACCCTTCCCATGGCCAACGGGAGGCGGGGCTCTCGGGTGCCCAGGTCCGCTGCTGGGGAGACAGAGAGGCAGCTGGGCAGGCGAGGCCGAGACCGAGCGTCCTGTGACCACAGGCCCGTGTCTGGCTCCACGCAGGAGCCCAGAGCCAGCACAGGCACTCACGGAGCTCCAGCCCACGGGCCGCCACCTCAGTGACCCGGAAACGCAGGTCGGATCACGTCACGCCACGCTGCTGCAAGCCCTTCTCTTAGGTCAAAGGCCAGGGCCCCAGACACACCGGGCTCGGCCCTGCTCCCCAAGAACCGCACTCCCTTCAGCCCCCCAGTCCCCCCTCGGTCTGGCCTACTGTCTGCTCTAAGGTGGCTGTCCCCCACCTTGTCCCTCTGAGAGACACGCAGCTCTGTCCTTCCCGGCACGTGTGCAGAGTGTGGCTTGAGACACGTGTGTCCCTGGCAAGGCTGAGCCTCAGGAAGACAGGGGCAGCATGTCCACACGAGCCTCCTGCCCACCTGGCGTCCTGAGTTCTCCACTCGGCAGCAGAACGTGCGTGCGCCGCTCAAGGCACCAATCTGGTGTTAAAGGGTTAACATGGGCCAGGAAGGCCACAGCCACCTTGCCCTGGCCTGCACCGACTGCTCAGCCACTCCCTGCCTCCCTATCAGTGCGGCCGAGCCTAAGGAGAGCCCAGAGCCTGCCAGGAGTGCGGAGGCCGGGCGGACCTGTCTGTGCCTGGAGGAGCACTGGGCCGGGCACAGTCACACCTGCCACTTCGCCAGAACGTCCCCTCCTCCCTCCCTTTCCCAACCTGCCTTCGGGGACAGTCTCAGCAGACCCCGCCCCGTCCTCTCCCCCTCTCAGTACCGCCCGCTCTGTGCTCTGTACTATGTACCCAGGGTTATCACTTGCCCTCTGGCCAGAGGCCCGAGGATGCCGGGGTTACGGGTTTCCTTAGGGCAGCTCTGGGAACCTGCAGAGGGGCCTGGGGCCTGCTCCTGATGCCCGTGAGGAGGGCGAGCAAGAGGCCCTCCACAGGACTAACTCCGCCTCCCGCGTGACCGCGAGCCCAGCACAGATCTACCTGCTACGCAGACACGCGTCCAAGAAGACAGCTGCTGCGGACGCCGAGGGGAGACTGAACTCAAATGGGACCACGTGTTCTTATCTGAGAATCCACGTCACTGGCAGCAAGGGCACTGGGGGCCTCGAGCCGCCAGCGCGGCAGGGCCGTGCCAGCCTGCCCGTGCGGCTGTCCCAGGCCCAGGGGCGGCAGAGAGGGGAGGCCCCGGCTGCGTCACTGGCGCGGGGGAGGCAGACACCGAGACGCACGCTCCCCCATCGTCAACTCCTTGCCTTGCAGGTTACGGCTGGGGCACCGCTGGGCTGCAGACAAGGAGGTGGAGGCAGCTTTATCAGCCGCGTTCCTTTCCAGGATAAGGGCGCTGCTACCACACACCTGCAGTGACGACGACTCAAGACTCGGTGGGCTGAAGCCACTGCCCTGCGCGACCAGCGCAGTCCCACTCTGCGGCGCCTCCTCTAGGCTGCCAGGTGCCAGGTGAAGCCCAGCTCTGACGCCCCGTGAGCCCAAGGACGTCCTCTTCACGTGGGCGTCTAACAGCAGGCAGCTCCTGTCCACTGTGTCCAGAACTGGCTCCTCCCTCCACCGCCGCTCCGGTCTCTGCCCACGCCCAGCACAGCAGGCAGCACCACCACCCATCCCCTGCCCAGGCTGAGCCCTCGCTCGCATCCCTGCTTCCTCCACTCAGCCCAGCAACTCCTGCCAGCTCCAGCTTCCAGTCCCGCCCTCCACCTCCACCACGCAAGCCCCTCATCTCCCCAAACGCCCGAGCCGTCTCCTCCAGAGCTCGCTCTGCCCTCCTGCAACTCCCCGGCGGCAAGAGCGGGCCGTGCAGGCCTTGAACCTGTGTCTACTGGGTTTCTCCTCTCGGTGGGTAGGCGCCCTCTCCGGCGCATTGGAGGGTGTTCGGCAGTGTCCCTGGCCTCTGCCCACCTGATGACAGCAGCACCCCTCCCCTCTCAGTCCCAGGTTGCGACAACCAAAACTGTCTGCCGACACGGCCACCTGTTACCTGGGGATCAGAACTGCTCCCCGTAGAGAACCGCTGCCTGCCCTACAGCGGCGGGTGCCGGGTGCTTTCTTCCCGGCACTGTCCCCTGCCCAAGCCAGGGCCGCCACTGCGAACCAGTTTCCTGCACTGGCTGCAGGTCCTGCTCCGGCGCGCCAGGGCCATCCCTGCACCGCTGAAATCCCCTCCTGCCCCCCAGACCTGGAGGAGGAAGTGCCCGTGACCACCTGCCAACCGAAGCGCTGCTCAACGTCCACGCACTCCTAGCCCACAAGCACGACGCACGGCCTCAGCTGGAAGGGCCTTGGAGACCACCCAGCCCTTGTTCAAGGCATGCATCCAGCGCCCCTCAGGCCTACACTGCGGGGGCCTGGTCTCCCCTACCCTGATTTTACGCTAAGGAAAGACAAGGACAGGGCGCTTTTTCACGCCTTACTTCTCCAGGAAAGAAACTCCCTACATGGCCTCAGTAGCCCCAGGGGGCTGAGCTGGGAGCCGTGGCCACATCGGGGTCGGGCCAGGGCACTGCTGCAGCTCTTAACATGGGCCACACAGCTCAGGGCTTCCAAGTGGGGGCTTTGGAGTCAGAGACCTGGGATCGAATCCTGACACTCACTCTGCGTGACCCTGCCGTGGGATCTCTGGACTCTCCTCCAGCCATAAAGGGAGCCGGAAGGGAGTCACTGGGCTCAGGTACCACGCGTGGCGCCGGCTCACGGTAGGGGCCCCTCTCTTCCTGGTCCCCAGAGGCCCCTGCTGCTGGCCCGGCCCCCTCACCGCCCACCCACCCTGCTCCCACACCTCTCCTATCTTACACAGCTCACCCCTTCCCTTCCCAGAGAAGCCTTTTGGATGCCTCGGCCCACTCACCGGCCTTCCTTCTGCTTTCTGGGTCTTTTTCTGCTGACACCTCCCCCTTCAGCCAACCAGCACAATGAGGTGCCCGAGCGGTGGAGCCTGGTTGCTCCGCCCAGCCCGCCTCCCCCCACCCAGTGGACTTGCCAAGGGCTGCTACATTCTTTGCATCAGTCCTTTTTCTGAAAGTTTCAGACCAGGGTATCTAACCACCTGCTCAGCAGCCCTGCTCAAGAGAACTTGGGGCCGGCACCTGTGACACCAGCATCCCATATGGGCACTGGTTTCGAGTCCCGGCTGCTCCACTTCCGATCCAGCTCTCTGCTGTGGCCTGGGAGAGCAGTAGAAGATGGCCCAAGTCCGTGGGCCCCTGCACCCACGTGGGAGACCTGGAAGAAGCTCTTGGCTTCAGACTGGCCCAGTCCTGGCCATTGTGGCCATCTGAGGAGTGGACCAGTGGGTGGAAGACCTCTCCCTCCAACTCTGCCTTTCAAATAATAATACAGCGAGGACTTAAGTTGGCCTAACATCTCTTAACTCCCTGCTTCCCGCTCTTTCGCTCGTCTCGTCTCTCACCTCCTGCGTCGGGTCCCCGCCAACATTTCCTGGCCCCTCTGCTTCTCTTCACGGGCCCTCAGCCCACGCCCCAACTGCTTTCACCTCCTGACCTGCAACTGGCCTCCCGGCTGGTCCCCAGCTCCCTCCTCTGCCCCAACAGCCTGGACTCCACCAGGTAGCCAGGGGGTGGCTTCAGGGCAGAGGGGAGACCCCGCCCTCAGGGGCCACCCCAGGGCACGGCCGGCAGGGACCCCTCTGCCCTCCGCAACGCGCCCGCACCGTGGTCTCGGCGTCTGCCAAGCGTCAAAGTCCGTTCTTGGCACCTGCTGTCCCCAGGCCTCTGCTGGGCTCCACCTCCCCCGGCCCCCGCCCCCATCCTCGTGGCACTGCCACCGTCTGACGTGGTCTTGTTTGCTCACGTGGTCACCACCCACCCCACCCCGCCTACACGGCGGGATGCGGCCAGGCCCTGGTGCCGGTACGTCCTAGGTACTCAGTCAACGCCAGGTGAACGAGCGGAGGGCAGCCGGCTCGCAGGCAGGCGCCGGAGACCCCCGGACACCCCAGGCACGGGGAAGCTGAGGCTCAGGGAAGGGCAGGAGCTCGGACGCGCCCTACACGGCCGCGCGCAGGGCCTGGCCAGGGTCGCGCCTCCCGGGCTCCGGAACTCCTCGCCCCCCGGGCTGCCGCCGCGCGCCCACCTACCTCCGCTCGGGGCGCTCCCAGATGGGTCCCGCGGCCGGAAGTACGAGGCCAGGCACCGCCACTTCGCGCGGGGCGGGGAGGGAAAGCGACTTCCGCCGGAAGCCGCCGAGGGGGGCGGAGCCGGGCGTGGGGCGCTGTGGGCGGAGCCGGGGCGGGCCGGGGCGGGACTGGGCGGGGCCGGGGCGGAGCCCTGTGAGCCTGAGACTTGCTCTGGATCCCCACTGCGGAGCTGGGCGTCCTGCCCACAGCAAGCGTCCCCCAAACGGTCACCTGTTTAGTTTTATGGAACGAATTGCTTGTCTTATGTCCAAAGTGCCGCGCATCCGTGGAGGAAGCTACGATGTTAAGTCTCTCCCGAGCTCTCCCCTTCTGGGAGCTGAAGCCGGCTGGCGAGTGACGTTTGTGGACTGTTGTCTGTGTGCCTCCATCTCAGTTTCAACAGGTGGAGCCAGGGGCGAGCATCCCAGAGAGAGGAGGCTCCAGCCAGCCTTGCCTGGAGCCCAGGCACTCACACCGGTGGGTGCAGGAGCTGAGGGGCAGGCTGCAGTGGCCCCAAAATGTTATTCTGGGGAGCTCAGCTTTTCCTCCTCTTGCAGGATCCATTAAAAGGGGCAGCATTTGTGGGCAGGGTGAACCACTCGGCCGGGCCGACTGGGCTGCACACTGAAGCCCACTTTTGTGCATTTTGTTCTCTGCTCTCCCCCTGGGCTCTCCGCACCAAGACTGGCTGCAAACATGGATCCATGCAAGTGACTCAGCTGGGCTCCCCGGCCCCTCTGAACAGAAGGCTCTGGGCCAGAGAGTAAGCAGTGCTTTGTGCAAACTGCTGCTGTCGCCGCCGCCAGCTGGCATCATGAGGCGTTAGTTCATTCAGTGCTTACCAAGCACCTACAATGGTACCCATCGCTGCCCAAGGTCTTGGCTCTCTGCAGCCCCAAGGCCTGCACTGCGTGCACATTCTGTGCCTTTTGAAAGAGGTTGTCCTCGCCCCCTTCTCTCTCAGACGCAAGAGAAAGCATCTATTTTCATCACTGCAGTCATTCAAGTCTCCCAGCTCCCAAGGACGAGGTCTGGAGCAACAGCCTAAAACACCAGCTGGAAGGCGGGGCCTGGGTCCAGCACACACAGGGTGAAGAACGTGTCGTCTTTGTGGGGCACAAGTGCTCGCGCTGTTCCCTGGCAGGGAGAAGAGGCGGGCGTGTTCACAGGGGCGTAGTGTGCCGCCTGCTGTGCCTGGCAGGGCTGAGCAGAGAACCTGTCCCGTGCAAGTCTGAGCCCCCATCCCCAGGGTGTGTGTGTGTATGTGTGTGTGTGCAAGTGCATGTGTGTGGTGGGGGCAGGGTGGGTGACAGGAGGCGGCGGCTCTGGGAGGGTGCCTGAGGGCTGTCTGGGGGAGCTCTGCCTGCCTGTATGTGTGTGCACATGTGTGTGCATGTGTGCACATGTGTGTGTGTGTGGTGGGGGCAGGGTGGGTGAGAGGAGGCGGCGGCTCTGGGAGGGTGCCTGAGGGCTGTCTGGGGGAGCTCTCTGGGCTCCCCGATATGAAGGCCTGCCTACCTGCCTGCCTGCCGAGGTGACTCCCCAGCCTGGGGCAGGGACCGAGGCTGAGGAACTGTCACGGGGACCGCAGTCTGTACAGGAAAGAGTATTTATTGAAAACACCGTTACCGACAGGAAGCTGGACTGCTCACTGCTGGAAGTGGTACTTTTGTTCCTCACTTTATCCCCCCGCCCCAGCATTCCATCAGGACAGGCGGATGTTGTATAAATATATATACACGGCTGTGTAAGTATGGCCTAGAGAGAGCACGTAGTCCACTCTTCACTGGGCAGTACCCACCACGCCAGCTACCAATACTGAGTGCCACCGTGTTCACCTACAGGAGAGGGGCTACGTGCGTGGTTACGAGTGCCGAGCACCAGGGAAGGCCCGCTGGCAAGCTGTGGCCTCAGCCGGCTCCAGCCAGCTCCCTGAAGTCATGGCCGACGGCGGGACCCACAGGGGAGCAGGGGATGGCAAATCTCCTGGGGACTAGAAGCACAGAGGAAAGCAAACGCGGGGGGGGGCACAGTTGGGGGGACACAGTTCAGGTCAGTGGGAGATTTCTCCTGAGGATGGCAAAGAGAGAAACATGGGGACGCGGCATGGCCTCACCACAGTCCAGGCCAGGCCTCCGCCGGGGCTTTCTCTGGAGCCGTCCCGCAGGCTAAGAGGGCAGGACTTGGCCTTGGGGGCTCTGACTGGCCAGGAGGAGACTGCGTAGGGACGCATTTCCACCTGTTTGGGCAGGAGGGACCTGGTGGCTCAAGAGACCAGAGGTGTTTGAGCCAGCCGTCAGAGGCAGCAGCATCTTGGCACCGGATGAGCGGGGGCGAGCCCTCACGGAGAAGACAAAGCAGAGGCCCGCGGCCTGTACTGGAGCTGAGGCACGGGCACAGTCACCCACGGGTGGCCCTCCCAGGCTCTGCACACCCAGCACATCTGTCCTCTGCACGCAACCCTTGCTGGGCCGGCTCCTGCTCACAGGGGCCCCCGCCAGCCGGGCAGCAGGCTGACGGCGGAAGGGCGACCTGCCGTTGTGCAGTCCAGTTGCACACTCGGTTCCTCGGGCTGGCAGGCAAGGGCATCTGCTGCTCATTCCTCGTGGCCCGTTCCCAGGCTTCACGGCTGCGGGGAGGGCAGAGCGCCCCGCCTTCGGGACTCTCCGTGGACAGGGGCCAAGAGGAAGTGCTGGGTGGCCCGCGTGGGGTTGAGGAGCGGCTGGCATTTACCGGCCACCACGATCACTACAGATTCTGTACAAGCGAGAGACAAGGCAGCAGACGGGGAGTGCGGCTCCGGGGCCCCAGTGCCCGCCTGGTCCTGCGCTCCCCGGCTCCGGGCTCAGCCGTAGTGATAGACGAAGTCGTAGCTGCTGGGCTCCTTGGGCACCGGCGGGGGCGCCTCGGGGATCTGAACATTCTCCAGGTCCAGCAGCCGCAGCTTCATCTCCATGGTCAGCAGCGTGTCCAGGTCACTCTTGGTCAGCTCACTGGACATGTCCTTTCCCAGGAGGGCACTGAGGCCGTCGATCCAGATGCAGTACTGTGGGGAGAAAGTTGCCAAATGTCACCTGCTGGCCCCGGGCAGCAGGAGCGCCCGCCGAGGCCCCTCTGCTGCCGGGACTCACAGCACTGCCCCGGCAGTGTCCGGTATGGGCAGACGTGGTAACGGCACTGATTAACCACTTTCCCGAGAGACCTTTTGGTTTTTATCAAACATGACCTAAAAATACAACTAAGAAATACAGCAGCGTGAGACCTAAGTACTGGGCCGTCACCTCCCCGGAACTCCCCCTAGAATTAGGAATGGGAGGGGAAACACGCACTGGGTGGGAAAAGGGACACGCGCAGGAATCCCTGTAGGGTCCTAATTCTGTCCCAGAAATAGCAAATTGAAAGCAACCTAGTCATTAAATGTGTAAACAAAAACTGTTTAAGATGGGACCAGAGGGTCTCAGGGTGACAGAGCGCCTCTCGCCTGCCCAGCCCCCGTCCCCTGGACGCCCGCCTCGGCGCTGTTCCCTCCCCCAGGCCTTTGCTCACCTGCTCCCCCACCTGCTGTTCATCTCCTCCCAACCAAACCCCGGGCGCTCAGGCCCCGCCG